CCGAGGATGTGTGTGTCCCAGGCAGCGCCCCCCCTTCCCCCCTCTCCCCCCGAGGATGTGTGTGTCCCAGGGGTGTGTCTTGATGAGCCATTTTTTCTCTTCTCTGTGGGTCTGTGGCTGGTCTCAGCCGAGCCAGTGTTGGGAAGTTCTAGTTTTGCATAGAATTAATTACAAAGATGCCAAACTCTGTGAAAAGAGAGCCAAATGTATCACTTGAAGAAATAAAGATGCTATTTTTTGTATTTTGCCTGAGAGGCAGGGGCACAAACGGGAGTTGTACAGTGTCAGAGTAGCGCTGCGTGAAAGTGAGGATTTTACCTTTTACAGAGAAAGAGCGAGGGGTGGTTCTATATTTATACATGAAAGGCCGACGAGATGCTCACGCCCAGGAGTTTGTTTCTTTGCTTGTTTGCCAGAGCCCCTGTTTGAGAGGGGTGCTTGGTTGAGTTACACAGGACACCCCACGGGCAGCCTGTGCGCCTGCCTTGGGACGGGGAGGGGAGACGCCTGGGGGGTTGCCATGGCGATCATAGGTTGTCCATCAAATTTACATCTTCATCCATAGATTGCCCGCCCTTCCCTGACCTTCAGTAGCCAAACCTCTTAAGAAAACATGTCTGTGTAACGCTTTCTTCATGCCAACGAAACAGGGTAAACACGCTAAAAACCAACCCTCGGGACCGATTTTCAAGTAGGGAGAACAAAACCAAGTTAAAGCACTTTCCATTTTTTTTTTTAAAGAAAAGGTTTATAGCTTCCCCCCCCCCAACCCCCATTTCACAATGTCCACTTCCTAAGAAGGGTTTAAATAATATAAAAACTTTCTTTTTTTGGGAAAATATCTATTTGGTGTTTGACACATCAGTAGGTACTTCACAGGCCTGCCTTTTATAGTAGCTCTAGGGTATATTTTATACAGATCCGTGTGACTTTATATTCGCAGACGTAGAGCTCGAACCCGCGCTCGCTTGGTGCCGCTTGCTCTGCTCCCCGCCGGCCGCCTCGGGTCCCCAGGGCTTTCAGCTTGGTCTTTGGAAACTTTTGACCCTCTTGAATTTTTGCTATATCTTCTGATTTTCTGAAAACGCTGTAGAATGGTTGCTGCTCCCCTCGTGTCTCCGCACTGTCCACGCGTCTCCAGTGGGTGTGAGGGACGGAGGCGGAGCCCGGGCTGCTGGAAGCCGCTTCAGAAGGAAGAGCATCTAGTAAGAAAGTGATGAGTTCAGTTTGGAGCATATTGAAACTAGCAATTGAGTGACCACATGTACATAGGTCATGACGTGTCCATGTCCAAAGTTCTTATATATTTCTTTTATAAGCTGAAAGAAGGTCTATTTTTATGTTTTTAGGTCTATGAATGGAACGTTGTAAATGCCTGTCAGTCGAACAATAAAATGATCGGAAAGTGTCCGGCCAGCCTTGTGCCTTTCTGGGTCCTTAGGAGCCATCAGCGGGAAGAGCATCGGAGAAGGTTCCGGGATGCCTTCTCTTGCCCCTAAAGAACATGGTCCTCTAGGGAGTGGGTAGAAGCTTTTTATAAACAAATTTATTTTTTTATTGAGGCAAAAATGACGTGTTAGTGTCACACAGCGATTGGGTGTTTGTATAACTGCGAAGTGACCCCGCAGTAGTTCGCATCCCTCGCCGGACACGGTTTTAGAACCTGCCTGCCCGGGACGGGGACAATTAGGGTCCAGTCTCCTGGCTGCTTTCACATACGCAACACAGTGTTAGCGTGGCCACGTCCGCACTCTGCGGGTCACAGTGTTAGCGTGGCCACGTCCGCACTCGCAGGTCACAGCGTTAGCGTGGCCACGTCCGCACTCGCAGGTCACGGTGTTAACATGGCCACGTCTGCACTCGCAGGTCACAGTGTTAGCGTGGCCACGTCCGCACTCGCAGGTCACGGTGTTAGCGTGGCCACGTCCGCACTCTGCGGGTCACAGTGTTAGCGTGGCCACGTCCGCACTCTGCGGGTCACAGTGTTAGCGTGGCCACGGCTGCACTCGCAGGTCACAGTGTTAGCGTGGCCACGGCCGCACTCTGCGGGTCACAGTGTTAGCGTGGCCACGGCCGCACTCGGGGGTCACAGTGTTAGCGTGGCCACGTCCGCACTCGGCGGTTCACAGTGATAGCGTGGCCGCATCTGCACTCGCAGGTCACAGTGTTAACATGGTCACGTCCGCACTCGGCGGGTCACAGTGTTAACATGGCCACGGCCGCACTCGGCGGGTCACAGTGTTAGCGTGGCCACGTCCGCACTCGTCCCGCACTCGGGGGTCACAGTGTTAGCGTGGCCACGTCCGCACTCGGCAGGTCATAGCTGAGGCTGTGCCTGACCCCCCTCAGGCAGCCACCACTCTGTTCTTGGTCCATGGGCTTAGGTTTCCTCTTGTTGTTTTTTAAAAAACATTTTTATTGATTTCAGAGAGGAAGGGAGAGATGGGAACATCAATGATGAGAGAGAATCATGGATCAGCGGCCTCCTGCACGACCCCCAATGGGGGTGGACCCCACAACCTGGGCCTGTGCCCTGACTGGGAATCAAACTGTGACCTCCTGGTGCCTAGGTCCACGCTCAGCCACGCAGCCACACCCACCGGGCTGGTTTTGGTTTTTAGATTCCATATATGAAATCATATGGTATTTATCTTTTTCTGTAAGTAGAGCTGGAAGTTTTAATGAAAACAAAACAAAACAAAAGGTATTAAAGTTGCTCAGCATCTTGGTCCCTGATTCGGAGAAGAGGAAAACAGCCGGGACACAGGTCTGTCCCAGTCTCCCGCCCCTCCCTGGTCGGCCAGGGTGCCAGGAGGGGTGAGGTGCAGAGCTGGGGCTGGCCTGTGGGGGGAGCTCTGGAGCCCGGGCTCCGGCTCCACACTTGGTCCCTGGGGTCTTGCCTCCTGGATCTTCCACAGAATCACACACAGAAAAGGCGGATGCAGCCCTGGGTGACCCTTCCCAGGCCCGGGCCGCTTCCTCTCCCTCTTCCTCTTCCTCTCCCTCTTCCTCTTCCTCTTCCTCAGTCCCTTACAGGCCTCACAGGTCCAAGTGTACTCGCCCACACCTGCCTCCAGGGGACCAGGTTCCCCAGACCAGCAGATGCCTCCCGGAAGCGGGTGAGCGCTGGCCGCTGTTTGGCAATTTGCTCCTTTGTGGTTCATGGACTCACGGCCACATCAGCCCCAGATCCCTGGGGCTTGAAAGACATTCAGACCCCCCACGCGCGCACAACCATGCACATGCACGTACGTGCACACTCATCCACGTGCATGTACACACACGCATAGGCATGCGCACCCACCCACCCATGCACACACATGCACACATGCACACACGCAGGTGTGTCCACACACTCATGCACGTGCATGTGCACGCACACCCATGCACGCACACACACCCATGCACACACACGCACACATACGCATGCAGGTGTGTGCACACACTCATGCACGTGCATGTACACACACACACACACACACACACACGCACACACTGAACCAGAACCTGCATTTTCACAGGATCCCACGATTCAGGGGCAGGCTCAGGTGTGAGAAGCTTTGCTTGCGGGCGTCCTGACGAGCAGCCACACCCCTTTGTTCTCAGGGTGTCCAGGCTCCACGGGGTGCCCTGGGGGAGGGTGGCCAGCCAGCCGACCCCTGGTGGGATTATTCCCACGGTCTGTGCTGGGGTCAGGGGGGGTGGGCAGTTTGGGCTGCTTTCCTGTCCAATCACTGGGCTGCCAGTGAGCGATGGCGCTCCAAGTCAAGGCCATGGAAGGAACCGGAATGCCCATGTCACGCTGACCTTCCTCTCCGGCTCCTGTCCCGGGGCTGCAGGACACGCATCCGCCCTCTGTCCACGTTGTCCTGGTGGGGCCGGGCCCCCTCGGGCCTCGGATCACTCACCCACAGCGGTTACCACGGCCGGGACCACCCTGGCCAGGCCACTGCCCTAGAAACGTGCCGTCCCCCGGCTCCCCCAGGAGGCGTCCGTGTGGGATGAGGGAACGGAGTATCCAGAGCTCAAGCAGGAGAGTGGGGTTCACGCGTGGGTCGTGGGTAAGTTCCTGTGCTCGGCGCCTGAGGCGGTGGCAGGAACCCTCGGTCTTGAAGAATGTCTTGGCTTAATAGTCCTTTGCCAGAGAGCAGGTTGCCTAACTTAGTGAAGAAGTTGCACCATGTGTATGTTTTCCATCCCCTTCCTCTGACCTCATCTTGGATTTCTTCTCCGCAAAGCCAGTTGAACAGTTGGATCTCAGACTCGGGCTCAAAAACCTCTCGGATGAGTTGTCATACCTGTATCCTACTCACCTCACCCAGCATAACCACATGTACATGTTTATTTACATTAAAAGATGGTGAGAACATCAAGAGAGAATATTGGGAGAGCTATGGGTATATTGACTACTTATTATCTCATCCTAATCTCTGATTTATTATGGCAGTTCTTCCAGAACACTCGTATTGTGCTGTGCTTTTCTCTGAAGTTTTCCCTGCCCCTGGACTTCACCATGGACTGCACCCACTCCACAGGGACTGTCATGTGTTAAAAGCACAGTGTAACTAATAGAAATAAACAGTGCCATGCCCCCTCCCCTAAGGTACTCCTTCTACATGGAGTCTCTCATGGACGGTCAAAGACAAACAACAGGGTAGATGGATGGTAGAGGGTTCAGTGGGAATGGGTAGCAATTGGAGAAACAAAACCTTAAAAGAATGGTTCTTTCTCTTGTTCTTTTCCTTTCTCTTTTTGGAATGACCTACCTGTTGCAACTCCAGGTGACTGGTTGAATGAGAAGGGACTGGGATCTTCTCTCACCTGTAAGAATGAGCTTCCCTTCTGAAATGCTCATCTACTAATACGGACCCTCGTGCCTGTGGAACCAGAATCTGCCCATTTTTCTTCTTTCTTTTCTTTTACTTTCTAAAATGGAAGCTCCGAGTTTCAGCGCCAAGCACTGGGCTGGCAGCCTGCTTGCATATTTCATTGCGTCCTTTGAGTTGGAGGTTATATTACCCTTGCTCCACAGATGAAGAGATTGAATGGAATCAGACAGGTTCTGTCACTTGCCCAAAGTCACACACCCAGGAAGAGGTAGAGCTGGGATTCGAACTCAGTGTTGTGGAGTGCGAGCAACAGAAAGACCAGAGCTCCAGACTGATTAAAATCTAGAGCCTTTACTCATTGGCCAGTGTCCGCTCCTCTGCTCGGGAAGCCCAAGAGAGAAGCAGCCCCGGCCACCTGCAGAGTCCAATGTTTAAAGGGGACAACACATCCGCGTTCAGGTTCCCATAGCAAGCAAAGCCAAGTTACAAGAGCTAATTGCGTAGTTTTAGCCAAGCTACTCATCCTCCTCCTGTTATTCATTTCTGGGTCACTTAAAGGTCAGGACTACAGCGGGGCCTTGACTTATGAGTGTCCCGACTAACGAGTTTTTCGAGATGCGATCTGTCTCTCAGCCGATTTTTTGCTTTGAGTTGCGAGCTAAAATTCGGGTTACGAGCCAGCTTCAGATACCCCACCGCTAGTTGGCGCAGCGAACGTCACAGTGAACGCCACAACATCAGCCCAGCATCACGTGTCTCACTCGTTCACTTTTTGATTTGACATACGAGTAATCTGAGTTACGAGCTCACGGAACGAATTAAACTCGTAAGTCAAGGCTCCACTGTATTCTTAATTTTTGTCTGTTCGTTCTTTATGGGCCTGTTGCTCGGGAGTATTGATCTGTTTGTTCTTTGTGGGCCTGTTGCTCAGGAGTATTGATCTGTTTGTTCTTTGTGGGCCTGTTGCTCAGGAGTATTGATCTGTCTGTTCTTTGTGAGCCGTTGCTCAGGTGTGGGAGCTCAGTTCCTAGAAACGTTGCCCAGGCTGCTGAGGCGGCTGGGTCATGAAGCGCCTAAAACATTTCCTGCTCGGTGACACTCAGGTCTGTGCCTTCTTTACCAGCTGAATTGAACTAAACGTCTGCCCCTCGCGGGCCTTCACACTGGGGGTGGTGCCTCTGCGCTGACATTCAGTGCTTCTGAATCGGTCTTTCGTGAAAAGGCAAAATCGGCTCCCCTGCACCCTGGTGCCTGGGTCTGTCCCCGGCCCCCCTGCCCCCGGCAGCCTGCAGCTGCCAGCAGGGGGCGCCACTCTGATTGCCCAGCCTCCTCTCGGGGCCGCTCCTGTGCAGACAAGCTCCCTGAAACCTGCAGGACTTCATGCACCAAACAGCCACGGGTCCAGTTTTTAAAATTAATTAATTAATTAATTAATTTATTGTTAATCCTCACCCAAGGATCTTTTTCCATTGATTTTTGGAGAGAGTGGGAGGGAAAGGGAGAGACACAGAGAGAAACATCTATGTGAGAGAGAGACATATCCGTTGGTTGCCTCCTGCACGCACCCCAACCAGGGCTGGGGAACCT